CCCAGGCTAGAGTGCCATGGCGTCAGCCTAGCTCACAGCAACCTCAAACTCCTGGGCTCAAGCGATCCTTCTGCCTCAGCTTCCTGAGTAGCTGGGACTACAGGCATGCGCCACCATGCCCGGCTAATTTTTTCTATATATTTTTAGTTGTCCAAATAATTTCTTTCTATTTTTAGTAGAGACGGGGTCTCACTCTTGCTCAGGCTGGTCTTGAACTCCTGACCTTGAGTGATCCACCCGCCTCGGCCTCCCAGAGTGAATCCTAATTTCTAACTCTCATAAAGATGGCTTTAAAATAACTTTGCTGGCCAGGCACGGTGGCTCACGCCTGTAATCCTAGCTCTCTGGGAGGCCGAGGCGGACGGATTGTTTGAGCTCAGGAGTTCGAGACCAGCCTGAGCAAGAGCGAGACCCCGTCTCTACCAAAAATAGAAAGAAATTAATTGGACAGCTAAAAATATATAGAAAAAATTAGCCGGGCATGGTGGCTCATGCCTGTAGTCCAAGCTACTCGGGAGGCTGAGGCAGTAGGATTGCTTGAGCCCAGGAGTTTGAGGTTGCTGTGAGCTAGGCTGACGCCACAGCACTCTAGCCCGGGCAACAAAATGAGACTCTGTCTCAACTATAAAAAAAATAAAAAAAATAACTTTGCTGAAAGGGAGTGAAAGAAAGGATGGTAATCTTAACTTCCTAGGCACCTGCCATGATTTGTTGGCAACAGTTTGTAAGGAGAATAAAAGCAACATGTAATACCAAATGATTAAATACCACAGAGAATGTTGCAATCCCACCCACAGCAGTGACTTTATCTTCCTGGGGAAGGGAGTGAATGGCCACAGGCCTCCCCCGTGGCACAGCTGTCATGTCCCTGGCTGAGCTGGTCTCAGTCACATCCTGTTCTGCACAGTGAATGAACACTGCAACGCCAGGCGTGGCCACACTGGGCCTGGCTCTTGAAAGCTCAGTGTTTGGAATTGTTGTGAGATAACCACCTGTCTGATGGGGCTTAGGAAATAACAGATGAGCTGGGAGGACAAAAAAATAATATAAAACTTAGTCCAAGAATTATCCCATAATGTTGTTTCAAGTTGCAGAGGAAATATTATAATACAGTTGACGCTTGAACAGCATGGGTTTGAACTGCATGTTTCACTTTTATGTAGTTTTTATTTGAGGAAATGTGGATGGAAAATAGAGTATTCCCGAGATGGGAAACCCGAGTATATGCATGTTCCACAGGGCCCACTGTGGCACTTGAGTATGCGCAGATTTGGTTATACGAAGAGTGGTCCTGGAACCAATGCCCCACATACCGACCAACAACTGTAATGATAACAGCTAAGCTGTAATGTGAACACTTCACCAGACCCTTTGCAAAGTGCTGTTTGTATGTTACCTTATCTCACTGTCACACCTCAGAGGTAGCCATCTAACTGGGGTTCAGAAAGCCCAAGCAACTTAGAATCACATGGTATGTATGTGGCAAGTCGTGAGCCAGATCTGTCCTAATCAAGTCTGAGCTTTTAAGCAACACTTTCTTCTGTCTCCTCAAGCAGACGAAGTCCCCAAAAACTAACTTGTTGGTTTCCAGTTTGACTTAGCTGTTTATCCCAGAGCACAGCAAGACCCTCTCTCTATGATGGTGTGCCCACTCTGTACTTTGCTGGGATTCTGATTAGTCCCAGTACCACTCATTCATCAAAAGTCCCATTCTTCCATGCAATCTATTTATTTCACTAGACACATGAATGTCTTTTATCAACCTACAACACATGAATAAAGGAGAGTCTTAACTCCACTCTTGAACAGGCATGGGTGCCTCATCAAACAGATAATTAATGTTTTGCACTCTAAGAGGCTGTGAAGTAGATCAAACCATGTAAGTCAGCCTCTGCCTAATGTTCTGACAGCTGAGTCTTTAGCAAAATGACTCTTAGCAGATACCTACCTTCCCACCGACTGTTGCTAAGATAGCTGCAAATGCTCACCTGGGAAGACATACCCCTGTAATGATCTCTCCCTGTTTCAGTCTCCTAGGTAGCAGATTGGGAAACTGATCCCTGTAATTGCAGCTGCTAAAAGTGACAGATAATATTTGTGAATAACTAGTAAGTGTACATTCAAATCAGATTTTTAACAAAGAATTCAGACTGATCTGTATGCCACGTTCATTTTACACCATTTCACTATTTAATCTAGATACAAATATAGTATGCCTTTCACATACCAAGTAGTGATAAAGTGACCGGTTTAAAAAAATTTAAAAAATTAAAAAAAAATTCTGGAGGTCTGTTTTTTATTTTTTATTTTTTTAGAGGGAGGTGGGTCTTGCTATGTTATCCAGGCTGGTCTCGAACTCCTAGACTTAAGTGATCCTCCCACCTCAGCCTCAGCCTCTCAAATAGCTAGGATTACAGGTACATGCCACTACACCTGGCTCAAATTTTAAAGGATCTTAAGAATCATCTTTTCCAATAAAACTTATATAAGGGGTAAAAAAAAAAAAGAAAAAAATAATAAAAATATAAATAGATTTTAAAAAAGAACCATCCTGCTCAGGATTCTCAACCTAGACCCCAGCACAGGTGTCAGGGAAGTCCATGGATGCCCTGAGGTTATTTTATAACATTTACGTACATTCCTCTTTGTGTACTTTTCTAGAAGAGGTTCATTAGCATTCTCAGAGAGTTCCATATTCTAGTTTAATACGCTTATATTACAGATTAGCATACTAAAGTTCATGAAATTAAATGGACTGCCTAACAGTACACAGTAAGAATTCACTAGGAATTTATATAATAAATATTAATGCTCAAAACATCTTGACATAAGAAAAAAATAAAGCTAAACCTATTTTGTGGGAAGCAAGACAGACATAAGTAATTAAGGATCTTCAGTATACTTAAGTGAGAGAACTAAAATGTTGTATTCATTCTACTTCATAGAATGCGGTGTTACTTGATTAAAAAATATATATCATTACCCTTTAACATCCCCAGTGATGTCATGTAGATGTCTATCATGTACCCTTTGGATATGTGATGAGAAGGGCACTTCACTTCTGGCATGTTCTTTTCGAATCATAAGGAAAACATCAGACAAACACAGATCAGGGGACATTCTACAGGACAACTGGCCAGTATCCTCAAGACTGTTAAGGTCATAAAAAATAAGGAACGACCGAGAGAGAAACTGTCACAGACCAGAAGAGACTAAAGAGACATGACAATTAAATACAGTGTAGTATTGTAGATGGGATGCCGGAACAAAAAGAGCACATTAATGGAAAAATTGGTGAATTTCAAATGAAATCTGGAAATAAGTTAATAATAACTTACCAGGATTGGTTTCTTAGTTTTGACAAATGTACTATGGTCATGTGAGATGCTAAAGATGACTATCTTTGTAACTTTACTATAAATCTAAAATTATTCTAATTTTTTTTTTTTTAAGAGAAAGGATCTTGCCCTGTCTCCCAGGCTGGAGTGCAGTAGTGTGATCATAGCCCACTGCAACCCTGAACTCCTGGCCTCAAGTGAACCTCCTGCCTCAGCCTCCCAAGTAAGTAGGACTACAGGCTTATACTACCATGTCCAGTGGCTAATTTTTTTTTTTTTTTGGTAGAGTGGGGGTCTCATGATGTTGCCCAGGCTGGCCTTGAACTCCTGGGCTCAAGTGATCCTCCCACCTCAGCCTCCCAAAGTGCTGGGGTTACAGGCGTGAGCCACTGTGCCCAGCCAAAATTTTAAAAGTTCATTTAAGTACTATTGTTAACCTTAGTTTTTTGTACTGATTCTCATAGATGTTACCAAATGTGAATATGATATTGTCACATGAACCAACAAGCCAGCTCTGGTACTCATGATGAAAGAAGGACAGGCCATTGGTCAATATTGTACTCATTTGCATTGATTATTCCAGAGCCTATAATGAGTGTAAGAGGAACAAACATGAGACTCAGTACAACTGAGTTAGACATAAAGCTACAAGCATGAAGCCCTGAATGGTGAGGATGAGTTAGAGGGTGTCAGGGATCCACGCATGTGCTTGGCCTCTGAGCCGCAGCCCACCTCTGACACTAATGCAGTGACCTTGGGTGTCTTAATGTCCCTAACTCCCAACTTGCTTGACCTTAAAATAAGCATAACAGAAGTATCTGCCTCAAAGAATTGGGAGAATTAAATAATATATGTAAATTGCTTAGCACAGAACCTTAGAGGACTCATTTTAGGGTCTTGTTAGAGGAATCTGACAAATGGTTGTTATCGCTATTACTATTTCCACCACTAAGGAAAGAAAAGCTTTTCTGTAGATGTTGTCTCCATTGCCCATAAAATAAAGCTCAGATTCCTTAGCATGACTTTTAAAGCCAATTTTATTGTATCTGAGCAGCTTGATTTCTTGTGACTATTCTTCCTACCCCCTGAACTGCCACCACAGTGAACTTTCCAGAGCTTTCACACCCCTCTTTTCTCTGCCCCAGAGTCTTCCCTTCTAGATCATCCTTCAAGACCTTGTGTCAGTGTCCCTTCTCTGGAAAGCCATTCCTCGCTCTCCTGTGATGTTCTTTGTCCCTTCCTTCTGTCACCCACGGAATTATACCTGTCCCAATCGTAACTCGTCACCTTGTACCGCTGTCTTTGTTTACCTATGCAGTATAAAAATAGGTAAAAATCAGAAGATCAGAAATCCTTCCTTCTTCATCTCCATGTTCTTCTGGTGCGTGGCACATACTTGGTGCCCAGCACAACTGATGAATAAATTGAATGAATATGAGTAGAACAACTGTGGTTGCTCAAGATCGTTTTGGAGGATGACTAATGAAAATTTATTTGATTTTTATTTATTAAAACCTCATTTAGTTTATAAAGGTGAAAACCAATGTTACCAGATGATATTTTATTTACTACCACTTTGTTTACTGTCAATCTTTAACACATGTGTAATACAATTCTTTGAGAAATTTTATCTTGCCTTTCTGTTGTTCTTTTATCTTCCAGTTTCCAGTTACAGCCATCCCTTGCCATAACTTTTAAACAATATTTGGAAAAATACCAGCCAAGAGAAAAAATGATAAAATTTTTCCTCATGGTGAATAAACAAGGGCAGACCCGACTTTCTAAGTACTATGAACATGTGGATATTAACAAGCGCACACTTCTGGAAACAGAAGTCATCAAGAGCTGCCTCTCTCGATCCAATGAGCAAGTAAGTTTCTGGTACTCTCTTTTATCTCTGCATTCAACTCTGCCTTGGCAGATCTATTATTACAGAGCCACAAGGACTATCATTTTCTTTGAACTATACTCCTCCAACAGCTATTAGGGAAAACAAGGAATAATGTGAGTGAAGACAGAAGGAAGCACGGCTCTCTTTACATCCATTTAAGAAAATAAAAACAAGGAAAACCAAGAAAAGGCTTGGGTTCTTATTTAGGTCAGCATATTTGTCTCAGTGTACCACGGAAGTGGCAGCTAAATTTACTCTTCCTAATAGGCATATCTCTTTTCCGTTCATATGAATTTAATCCTTGTTACTCTTACGAGTGCTTGTAGCAGGTGGCTTTCTGTAAGCCAAAAAATGAAGGTCACATGATTGCTATGGAGGTGAATACTCAAGACCTGTTTTGTGCCAGAGAATAATCATATGGTTCTCATATGGAGTGAAGTTTTTCTCTATGTATTATTTTTGTAAATATACCACTAACATAACATTGGAACTAGTGATTTATTATAAAAACAAAACAAATTTGATTTGAACTTGTCTTATTTTATCATGTAGATGAGGGAAATGGAAGTTAAAAATTCATATGAAACAAGAAATCTATGTCTCCTCCCAAATTGGAGGTTAAATAAAATCATCAAAATAATTATAAGTAGGGATTTTTAAAACGGTCTATTTTTACAAAGAATTTTTATTAAGATTTACTTAATCCAGATCCTAAACTTCAAATCCATTGGAAATCACTCACCAACTGAGGCAAAGTCATAAAGCTTGTGTAGATCATCCATGAATTTTGTCACTTCTCCATTTCATTGCATTTGTAGAAAGGGTGTCTGTGGGAACCACTGCTAAGTCATAAACTATTAAGCTACATCAGTGCTGAGAAGTTACGTGTTGCAAATGTGTTTCCCTTGGCTTCTAAATTGATTTTCCAGTTGGAACATCTCAGAGTTCCTCTTTGAATTACTACTTTGGCCTGCCATGGCACACACTGCTCTATGTTGTTGTCGGACAGAAACAAACTGTTAAAGGGCTGTGTTAATGGCCACATACTCTAAGTAAAAGTAAACAGACTCTTTAGAAGCATTCCTGTTTGAATCTTTCAGCAGAACGTAGGTACTCCACAATTTCAAACATCATTTTCGCTGATAGGTTACACTTTGAAATATAAGCTTTGGAATGAATATACTGTTAGATATTTTTGATACATTCTAAATTATTTTAGATTTTAAAAGGAATCCACTGGTCTTTTGGCATAATCAGGCGCCAAAGTAGCATAATATCAGCTTATTTTTTATTTTATCCACAAAGATGCTATGATGTATTTTTTTTTAATGTCAGAAACTCCTGAGAGGCTTTGAAAAATGTTCCTCAGTTCTTTCAAACAGGTTGTGTTTCCTTGAAAGATCCAGCTGAGCAGAAATCACACTGGCTCTCCAGTGAGCCAAAAGCTTCAGAATGGTTCTGTGCTCATTACCTTTATCCTAATTTTAAATAAAAGCCTCAAATCTCTCCATCTTATAGACTGTCAAATGGCTTTCCCGTGAGGGAATTTTCATGATCAAAACTTGCAGCTTCATTCCCAGGTACATCTAGGCACCCAAGAGCAACGTAGCCCAGTACAAAAAGCCATAAAGTTCGTGTTCAATTGCATCTGGGCAAGTACACCCTGAAGTCCAAAGGAAGAGCAACACTGTGCCTTCAGCCTGCTCTGCAGTTCCTGTCCGCCCAGTGCCTTCCCATAAGTGGGAAGTGGCTTTAGGAGAGAGGAATGGCAAGCGAGTTGTTTTAGCCAAATGTCAGTGATGCTAAACTAGTTATTAATTCCTATGAAGCAATGTTTACAATGGGAGATTTTGTCTAGCATCGGCCACACAAAGGCCATCTTTAAATAATTTATAAAAGAATCTGCATTGATGCTTTTCATGGGACTCTAGGAAAAAGCAAACAATATATTTTTTTCGTATGCTCTGTATATTTGGCTCCTCAACGACTACTAAATAATACAAAACTGAGAACATCTAATTGCTTCCCAAAAAGTCGTGGAGAGGTAGAAAGAAGAAAGTCTTTTTTATCATGTTTATTTTCACACTGGAGGCAGTTTAAAATGCTGATTATTCATTAGCTTTGCCTGCTGAATTCCACACGAGCCAAGCAAAGGAATGAGAAGGAGTACAGTGGGAACCCATGTGAACACTCAGACTTTTTTCCAGACTTTTCCAACTCCCATTAGAGATGCTTCCAAGTAGTCCCCTGAATGTTGTGAGAAGGCCAATAATGATTGTGTAACATTTTAATGTTCTATATTTCCAGGAGTGTGTTGGCAGAGACTCAAATCAGAACCTAGAAATTATGCATGCCATTTTAAAGAAATCTGTCAACCACAGGAATTAATATCTTATTGTGTTTCATCTAGTGCTCTTTCATTGAGTATAAGGATTTTAAGCTGATATATCGGCAGTATGCAGCTCTCTTCATTGTGGTTGGAGTTAATGACACTGAGGTAAGATAATAGAGGGGACTTTGGAAAATGCAAGAAAATTGGGGATAACTGTCTGATTTTTATTTCTCCTTAAACTGACATTTTCTTTCTACTTACTTTCTAAGAATTATTAACTGTTTTGAAGGATCTTGGTTTCTTTCAAGGCTAGGGAAAGCTGTATGGAAGAGAAATACCTAGGATGTTTCTTGGATTAGATGAGCAGCTTACAAAGGGGAGAAGCCCCAAACCACAGAATGCCTTCCTCTGTCCTAAGCAATACCAGTGCCCTGCCCTTGTTCTGTGACACAGTGGAATAGCTCAGACAAGTATAGAGGCCAACTGATTTTGGCACTGAACATGTGTTAACATATCAAAACCCAGAGAAAACTATAAATATGATTGTCTTGTGATTATATCTCCTCAGATTTAGTTCACCTCTTCAGAAATGTCAGTCCCAGATCAATAGCACATAAGGCTATGGAATTCCCAAAATGGTGTTTCAGACCTAAAATACTTTGAAATCTCAGTTAATTGTTTTTTTTATCCATGAACCAGACTTTAAAGTGGTTTCTTCATCTTCACAGATGAAAAAATGATGGCATGAAGAACATGTAAAATTGCATAAGCAAGTTGGTGATGACATCAGGGAGTAGAGCTCAGAATTCAAGACACTACACTCTAAGGCTTCCCTCTGGTTACATTCATCATAGACTTTTTTTTTTTTTTTTTTTTTGAGACAGAGTCTCACTCTCTTTCCCCGGGTAGAGTGCAGTGGTGTCATCATGGCTCACTGCAAACTCAAACTTCTGGGCTTTAGCAATCCTCCTGCCTCAACCGCTCAAGTAGCTAGGACTACTGGTGCATGCCACGACACCGAGCTAATTTTTCTATTTTTTGGTAGAGACAGGGTCTCACTCTTGCTTAGGCTGGTCTCAAACTCCTAAGCTCAAGCAATCCTCCCGCCTTGGCCTCCCAGAATGCTAGGATTACAGGCATGAGCCGTGGTGCCCGGCCTCATCATGGACTTTTTAAAAAAATCTTAAGAGATTAAGGTTTCATACATTTCCCTTATTAATAAGTATCTTTTAAACAAATGAGTCATAGAACTGTTCTGAATATTTGTCACTGGGAAGCTACTCTGCTCACATCTGTTCACTAAACCACATTCTCTAAAACCTGGAAGCTGACTTGGGCAGTTCTATTTTGATTTACACGAAGGCCACAGTAAATTAATTGCACGCTTCCTCTTTTATTTCAGAATGAGATGGCTATTTATGAATTCATCCATAACTTCGTGGAAGTTTTAGATGAGTACTTCAGCCGAGTGGTAAGTCTAATGGCTAAGAAATGGTTTTCTTCCTCAACCCAGTTTCCCAGAAATTGGGACTCTCTGGATCTATATCAAGAACATGTGTTAATATAGACCTATAACAGGCAAAAGATAAAATTCAAATGATCTGAATTTTCTTTGCCTTTCCTTCTGGCTCGTCTAAAGTGTTACAAACCCATGTATCCCCAGATCTTTATAAAGAACCAGCTCTAACAGGCTAAGAACCTCTTATTTCTTTTCTCTCAATTACGAGATTTTGCTATCTAACTTGCCTGCTCTTTCATTCTTCCCTCTTCTTTCCTTCCAAGACACCAAGACCCCCCTACTTTTTTTTTTTGCTCTACATGTTCAGAGAAAATTCTCTAGTAATGAACTACAGAAATGTAGAAATGACCCCTGAAAGTATCATCTTACTTTTTTTTTACCTCAGGTTAATGGGTACAAAATATAATTAGATAGATAGAATGTAGAATGAACAATATTTGCTAGCACAACAAAGTGACTATAGTCAAAAATAAGTTAGGGTATATTTTAAAATAACTAAAAGAGTGGAATTGAAATGTTCCTAACACAAAGAATAATAAATGCTTCAGGTGATGGATACCCCGGTTACCCTGATTTCATTATTACATGTTGTACGCCTGTGTCAAAACATCACATGTGCCCTACAAATATATACAACTATTATGTACCTATGATAATTAAAAATACAAAATTAAAAAGAAAAAAAGAATGATTTCCATCCAAACCCTTGCTTTAAGTGTCAGAAATCAACTCCCCTTAAGGTTCCCCTTAAGGAATATGTGAGTTCCTTTCATACAGTCCTTTTTAAAAAATTTTACCAGCTGTATTGAAATATAATTTACATGTCATACAATTCACCCATTTAAAGTGTATAATTTTAGTTTTTAGTATTTACACAGAGTTGTACAATCATCACCACAATCAATTTTAGGAAATTTCATCACCTGACGAAGAAACATCATACCCAACAGCATTTCCCTCTATAACCCCCTCCCCCCACTCCAGGCCCTAGGTAATCTTTCTTTCTTTTTTTTTCTCATGGTAAGTTAAAAAAATTTTTTTTATTTGATACATAATATACATGTTTTCAGGATACATGTGATACTTTGATACATCCATATAACGTGTAAAGATAAATCAGGCTAGTTAGGATATCTACCACCTTAAATATTTATCTTTTTTTAACGCTAAAACCATTTCAATTATTCTCTTCTAGCTATTTTGAAATGTATAATAGATAATTATTAATAACTATAGTCACGCTGCTGATCTATTAAACACTAGGTCTTATTTCTTCTATCTAACTATATATTTGTACCCCTTAATCAACATCTTAATCATCCCTCCCTCCCCACTACTCTTCCTGGCCTCTGATAACCACCCATCCACTCTCTATCTTCATGAGATTCACTTTTTAGCTCCCACATATGAGTGAGAACATGCGAGATTTGTTTTTCTGTGCTTGGCTTATTTCGCTTAACATAATCACCTCCAGTTCCACCCATGTTGCTGTACATGACAAGATTGCATTCTTTTTTATAGTATCCGATTGTGTATATAAACCACATCTTCTTTATCCATTCATCCATCAACAGACACTTAGGCTGATCCCATATTTTAGGTATTGTGACTAGTGTGGCAATAAACATGGGAGTGCAGATATCTCTTCCTTATATTGATTTCCTTTCTTTTGAATATATACATACTCTTTCTGTCTCTATAGACGTGTCTGTTCTAGATATTTCATATAGATAGAATTGTATATGTGATTTTTTTTTTGTGGCTGATTTCTTTCATTTAGCATAATGTTTTACAGATTCATCCACGTTGTAGCATGTATCAGTACTTCTTTCCTTTTTATTGCCAAACAATATTCCATTGTTTTATCAAATTTTATCCATCCATTCATCAGTTGATGAACATTTGGGTTATCTCCAGTTTTTGAAATTATAAATAATTCTGCTATGAACATTCATGTACATGTTTTTGTGTATAACCATGTTTTCAGTTCTCTTGGTCATATACCTAGGAGTGGAGTTGCTGGGTGATATGGTAACTCCATGTTTAACATTTAATGAACTGCCAAACCGTTTTCCAAAGTGTCTGCATGATTTAAATTCCCAGCAACAGTACATGAGGGTTCCAGTTTCTCCACATCCTCACCAAAACTTGTAATTATCTTTCTTTTTTATTATAGCCATTCTAGTAGGTGTGAAGAGGTATAGAGACCAATCAATTTTGGTTTTCATTTATGTTTCACTGATAGATAAGGATGTTGAGCATCTTTTCATATATTTGTTAGCCAAATTCATGTATCTCCTTGGGAGAAATATCTGCTCAAATCCTTTACCCATTTTTTAATTGCATTATTTGTCTTTGTTGTTGAGTTGCAAGAGTTCTTTTTTTTTTTTTTTTTTTTGATACAGAGTCTTGCTCTTTTACCCAGGCTGGACTGCAGTGGCTTCATCATAGCTCATTGCAACCTCAAACTCCTGGGCTCAAGCAATCCTCTGCCTCAACCTCTTGAGTTGCTGGGACTACCAGTGCACACAACCAGGCCCAGCTAATTTTTCTATTTTTTGTAGAGATGCGGTCTCACTCTTGCTCAGGCTGGTCTTGAACTCCTGGCCTCAAGCGATCCTCCCACTTGGGCCTCCCAAAGTGTTAGGATTACAGGCGTGAGCCACCATGCCTGGCCCAAAAGTTCTTTATATATTCTGAATACAAGTCCATTATCAGATATATGATTTGAAAATATTTTCTCCCATTCAGTTGTTTTCTTTTCACTTTCTCATTGGTGTCCTTTGAAGCACAGTAGTTTTTAATCTTGACAAAGCCCAGTTAATCTATTTTTTCTTTTGTTGTTTGTTTTTGGTGTCATGTCTAAAGAAGCTTTGCCTAACCTAAGGTCATGAGGATTTATTCTTATGTTTTCTTCTTAGAATTTTAGAGGTTTAGCCCCCACATTTAGGTCTTTCATCCATTTTAAGTAATATTTGTATATGTTGTGAAGTATGGGTCTAACGTCCTTCTTTTTGCATGTAGATATCCAGTTGTCCCAACGTCATTTGTTGAAAAACTGTTCTTTCCTCCCCGTAAATTGTCTTGGCACCCTTATCATAAATCAATTGACCATAAATGTAAGGGTTTATTTCTGGACTCTCAGTTCTGTTCCATTGATCTATATGGAATGTATATAGACTTATGCCAGTACCACATTATCTTTATTGCTGTAGCTTTGTAGTAAGTTTGAAACCCAACGTTCTTTTAAAAAAAAATCAGTGACGATGTTTTACTTTGCTACCACAGGCCTTCCTGAGCCTTGGTTAGATATTCTTGGGAAGTAGCAGACACACAAACTTATTATTTTTCAAAGTTATTTTGTTTATTTCATTTGCTTTTAAATAAAAGGTTTAGAAAGGAACTGTTTCCAAGCTTCTTCCTAAGGCAGTGAGTGGAATCTGCTCCAAAATTAGTAATACTGAGTGCACTAAAACCTGCTAAGCAAAACTCATGTTAAGAAGTTATATTTTCAGCCCAACTCCTAATGCCAGAAGTGAGGTTTGACATACTCCTTCCTGGGACCATCATTGTCTTCATTGTCTTAGTGCAGTGGTTCTCAGAGTCTGGTCCTGGACCAACAGCATAAGCTGGGAACTTGTTAAAAATACAAGTACTGGGCCCAACTCCAAATCATTGAATCAGAATTTCATAAGATTGCTGGATTGAGGCCCAGCAATCTTACGTCTAAACAAGCCTTCCAGGTGATTCTGATGCATGCTTAAGTTTGGGAACCACTGCCTTAGAGCATGAAGCTTGCTGTCAGCCTTTTCCTAATTCAAGGGTTGGTGCTGGGAAGACGCCTAGTGGTCTGCGATGTGGTAATGTATCTAGCCAGGAAGGGGTTGGTGCTTTCCAGAGCTAGAGGAGATCAAGAGATCAGGTCATTCCAGAGACTGGCCTTGAGGGGGCAGAGGGCGTTGAGACTGGCTTTAAAACCTATCTCTGTGTTGATTGCTTGGAGAAAGCACCATAGGCCAGCACTGTCCAATAAAACTTTCTGCAGTGATAGAAACGATCTATACCTGTGCTGCCTAATACGGTAGGCACTGGCCACGTGTGGCTCTGGAGCACTTGAAAAGTGGCTAGTGTAACTGAAGAGATGAAATTTTAATTTTACTTAATTTTAATTAATTTCAATTTCAATTGCCACATGAGGCTGGTGGTTACCATACTGGGCAGCTCTGGTTCCTGCTTTTCTCATGGTGACCACTCTCTTGTTAAGACAGACTGGCTGCAAGTCAAGGCCTGTGATTCAGAGCTGGCCATGATTAGCCACTTTAAGGTGACACCCACCAAGAAGAATGTAATTTCCCAAAATAACAATGTTTTAAACCTGGGAGAATAAAAAGTGGGTACAAGACTATCATTGCTAAGATTTTTTAAATTATTATTATTACATTTGGTAACCGACAATAAATAGCACATTGCTGAATTATAGCTGTAATTTTAGAGAGAGAGTCAGTGACCACATAAACCACCGAAGTAAAGATTAGAATTTAATTTAAGCCAGGTGATTATGTAGGACTTGGAGAGCACTAAGGGATGACTCAGTTTAGGATCAAGCCATAGCAAAAAGAAAAGGAAGACGAAGAGGGGAAGGAGTACTCTAGGAAAGAACATGGGATCTGTCCCACTCACGGAGAATGCCTCGTCATCTAAGTTTTATTTTTAGGCTTGTGAGTTTTAGACATTTTTTTCTGTGACTATTTTTAATCTTAGAGGTTTCCAAATCTTAAATTTGGAGATCAGTTTCATGCTGTCTGCGCTGCGAGAAGCATCTCAGCATCGTATTTTTAAAACAAAAAGCAAACCCAGCTAGCTTCAAAGGAGGCAGCTGGCAACAGGTGAGGGCTGTTGCTGTTGAGCAAATGTATCAGCGTTTTTGTCCTGCTGCATTCGACGAACCTTAAGCCCACAGTCCCCAACCTTTTTGGCACCAGGGACCATTTTCATGGAAGACAATTTTTCCACAGACCAGGGAGAGGGGCGATGGCTTGGGGATGATTCAAGCCCATTACATTTATTGTGCACGTTATTTCTATTATTATTACACTGTAATGCATAATGAAATAATTATACAACTCACCATAGGTTGGGGACCCCTGCCTTAAGCTCTTTCATATTTGAACTCGATTCTGTTTTTTTCTCCCTCTATGACTTTTTCATTACATAACTATTTTCATTGAAAAGAATTTTAAAAACATATAAGCAAAACGAAAGGGGAGGATGGATACATGTCATTATACATTTGTCCAAACCCATAGAATGTACAACACCAGTGTGAACCTTGATACGGACTTTGGGTGATACGAATGCGTCACTGTAGCTTCACCAGCTGTAACAGATGTACCGCCGTGGTGAGGATGTTGGTGATGGCAGCAGGATACGCATGTGGAGGGGCAGAGGGTATATGGGATATCTGTGTACCTTCCTCTCAATTTTGCTGTGAACCTGTGACTGCTCTAACAAGAAATAAAGTTTCTTTTTAAGGGGGGAATAAGATCATTGGTAAGCCCATCACTTACCGATAACAGCTGTTCGGTACATTGCCTTTTACTTTCTATATCTGTCTATATCTATATAACTATATATATCTCTATCTTATATATATGTCCGCGGGATAATATATGCATACCATTTTATAACCTGCTTTTTTATTTAACAGTATGTCAGTACTTATATGTCTACATCATTATTTGTGGATATGCTACAATTTACTTATCTAGTCCCCCCTGTTGATAGTTGCTTAAGTTATTATCAATAATTTGCTATTATAAACGTCACCCTGAACATCCCATCCCATGTTATTGTGGCATTGTCCAATTATTTCCCTAGGATAAACTTCTAGAAGTAAAATCCATGGATTCAAAGGGTATGGCACATTGTTAAAGTTTCTGATACACATATCAAATTACCTACCATCTATAAAGGTTAAGTTAGTTATTTTTCTCTCTGCTTTCTAAAGATGAATTGTTCTGGCCTGTAAAATTCCGGCGAACTGCAGCCTATTTTTTTAAAAATCACAATCCCAAACTGCGGGCCTTGCGCCCCTCGGGCCTGCTGCGGAGCCTCGGCCCGCTGCCTGCTTCCGGGCCTGGGGGGCGGGGCGCGTCCCAGGGTCTTGTTCTCACCCCTCTACTCTTTTTCTCTTTTCCAGAGTGAATTAGATGTATCCTTTTTCAGTGCTGTTCCCGCAGTGCACGGCGGAGAGAGCGCGGCCGGGCCCGGGCGGGTGAGTGCTGCGGGGCGGGCTCCAGTGTTAACCACCAGCGGCACCGCGCCAGCCAGACGAGCAGGTGTGTTACAGACCCCTCCTTCCTGCCACGCTGTTAAAAAAAGACAATTCTTAAAAAAGTCTTTTTTCCCCAGACAGGACAATGCTATGGTAGTAGTTAATAATAACTATTATATATTAATTTAACTTCTTTTAAGCATATGGAATAGGCTGTTTCTCAAATTTAAATAACACAGCCGGAAAGTGCTTAGTTCTCCTAGAGAGACGGGATTTGCAGGGCTCCGCAGAAATCTCTAGGACTCCCCGATACATCAGAGTGAGGCCTTCAGGGTTGATAAGCTGCAGGGCTAAAGAAATGAATGGCCCGTCTTGCATTCATTTCCTTTTATAGCAGAGAAAGCTCTCCTTTTCTTCTCTTTCTCCCTTTTAAAACACTGTGTCAAGGACAAACAAGCAGGATTTGCTTAGAATACTGCAGGTCTAGAGGTTTTGGTCAGGAGCCCTCTGAGCTTGGTGTGAGCGCTCTGGAGGCAAGCTGGCTTTTAAGTTACTTTTTTACTTCAAAAATCTGCCTACTGCTTGAAAGCAATAAAGAAAAGAGTCCTTTGAGAGCACATCAGGCTTGAGTCTAAAATAGTGACATTAATTATAAGAAATATTTATTAACATATTAATATATAAAATATGCTTAGAATGTAACAAATATATACAAATTATAACAAATGTTTATGTGTATACCTACATGTACATATATTTGTGTGTGTGTATGAATATATATGTATACGCACCATATATATATAATTGGACACTTATGCCCAAACCGGTATGTTTGCATCAACTTAATATTCTGGGAAAATGGTCATTTACCTGTTAAATGGTAAGAAAGGTCATCATGTTGGTAGAATTCATTTGCAGGCAGCATTTAGACGCTTCTTTAAATTAACTGGGAAAATTTTAGTGCCCTCTAGTGGTGATGACCTAAATCTGTTATTCTCTTTGATCTAGGAGACCCCAGAACAGGCTGTATATTAGGTATATTTTTATTTGGTATATAACATTCTATTTTCAAAATTTTATTTTTTATTTTTATTCTTTAGAGATGAGATCTCCCTCTGTCACCCAGGCTGGAGTACGGTGGTGTGATGATAGCTCACTGTAACCTCCAACACCTGGGCTCAAGCAATCCTCCCACCTCAGCCTCCTGAGTAACTGGGGCTACAGGTGTGCATCACTGCACCTGTGGCTAATTTTTTTATTTTTATTTTTTTTAGAAGAGATGGGGTCTCACTATGTTTCCCAGGCTGGTCTTGAACTCCTGGGCTCAAGTGGTCTTCCTGTTTCAGCCTCCCAGTGTGCTGGGATTACAGTCATCAGCCACCATGCCTGGTCAGCATGTAACATTCTATTTTAACTAAGCACTTTAAAGCAGTTCAAAATAAATCTCTTGCTTGTAAAGGGGAGTGAAAAAAAATTTTTTTTTTTTATTTTAAAAAAAATTTTTTTTATTTCAAAAGACATCAGGAAGATAGCAAGGACTAAATTAAGACACTTCATTAGGAGTACAGAAACTCAAGTTCCACTCTTGGTCTTGCCACTGACTAGCTATGTGTATTAGACAAGACACACAATCCCTCATCTCAAAATAAGAGAATTTGAATAGAAAAGCTTTAACACCCTTTCAGTCTTAATATTTGATGTTGCCATGAGTCTAGGTAACTGAATTATCTTATACCTAAAACAGGAAGAGAGTCTTACAAATCTAGATATCCGGAGAACTAAAGTGCATCAGATGTAACAGGATATGTATTATAGTTGGATTAGTTGTGTTGAGGTGTCATATGTTGGCTAGAAGTTTATTAGAAGTACATATGGGTATACTCGTCTTTGTGTCCCTCTGGTGCATAGCATAGGTCTGTGTGGTGAGCCCCACCTTTGTTGTTTGAAATTAATTTTCACACCAAGACAGACAATTTCCCCCTAATTTTACCTACTTTCATTTTCGCCCTCCCTCCCTCTCTGACCAAGTTATATATTTACTGTCCTTAAGAATTACTTAGGCGTATCCATCTGACAGATTAGGAATTTTACATCATTTAGAGAAGGGAACTAAATCTCTCCAGACCTGGAAGTTTGTCTTTGCTCTAGGCATAATTTCACTTGCACTTGCAGTGGTCTAAAAGTGGAGCAGGCAGCAGGGCAGGACATGGGGCACCTCTCTTCTGTTGATGCTCTTAAAAGGTTACCACCCTCAGCCATCTGAAAAAAATCAAATTAAAAACCCACGACTCTCCTCCGCTTCATACGTAGTTCTTTTCCCTATGACATGTCCAGGGAGGACCTCTGCAGAGCAATTACAGAGCAGAAAGACCAGGGAGCCTTGCAGGGGCATAGCTGCAGTTTCCTGCTCCCTCTGGGTGGGCCCTAGACCCTGCGTGCAGGATGTGATGTTCTACGTGACGTGATGACGTTCTGCATGACCATTCTGGTAGCACGTAGCCAGGAACCTTCTGGAGTAGCTAGCGTTGTTCAGGTCTGCCCTGCCAGGAAAACTTCTCTAGGTCTTGAAAGGATGATTACAAGCGACTGCTATAATTGCAACTCGAAGTTGGTTCTCCCAACACTCACAGCACATAATCTTCTTTATGTTTGCTCGGGCTTACGGAAGCCTTTCTTGTCAGCCCACATGGGACGGACATGATTTAAGGCTTGGGTTGGTACAGCAGCAGGAGAGGGAAGTCAAAACCTCATGAAATTCCCAAGAAGCTTTTTACTTGTAGTCTTTTTCTCCAGGAGCTATGCCACCCTGCTGCCTTTAAGGATTGGGAAGTTTCCCAGAGGCTGCACAGTGAGACTTTGAGAAATAAAGTACACCATTTATAATGCATTTCTCCCTCGTATGGGCTTGTGCTACTTCTAGTAAGACTGACATCACAGAGCAAGACAGATGCGATTTAAAAAAGAAATGACCTAAGCACAAGAAATGAGGACAGAAATTCTGGCTTGTTGAAAACGCTTCCAGTGAGTAGAAACCCTCTGGTACGGTGGGGTCGGGGGGGCAGGCTGCCTTCTTGGCACCAAGCATGTCGATGACCCAGATCGCTCACGTGCTGTGAATAAGCTCCTATATACTCTTCACATTCCACCCCACCTGGCTAAAATGCGGCCAGAGGACTCATGTGGCCTGTCCCTATAGGAAAAGTTTGCCCCATCGTGTACCTTGGTAGACTTATTTAAGACTTCAAATTCTATGAATTAAGATGATTTTTTAGGAACCAATTGATGAGCTTCCCAAAATGTGCTCAGCTCGGGAGCCCCAGGAGGCTTGCTGTTTTCCAGACGATTCATAATTCAGAGGAGCCGTGTCCACCCCCGTCTGCTAAATAGTCAGAGGATGGCACCAATGAACAGCACCGCGTGGGAGATGTCCCCACTCCAATTCTTTGTACGCCTGCTGTACGCATGAAGCACAGAAAACCTCAACAGCCTTTTTGGTACTTGGTGTCTTAAAGGCTTGGTTTCTTTGGCTGGAATGGAGTGCAGCAATACTGCTTTTAGACCTGGACTACCAAGGTCTCTTCCTTGGGCCCTGTGCTTTTAGGGGCCCCACTCTGGCTCTGCTCCAGCAGCCCCCCTCTCCAGGGACCACCTCTGGTTTCCTGGGCCCAGAATTTATAGGGTACCCAGACATCCCAGAGCCTGCTACCAGGGCCTGTGCAGTCCTCTCCTTTACCTCCGCCCCAGGACGGGGGACAGGAACGATAGGTAGGCTGGGATCCTGGTAGCTGGGGTGTCGCACATACACACATGGGGAGAGAAGCAGGGAGAGGCCGGAGTCCCTGTTTATACTCTTGTGCCCACTTCCTCCACAAACACAGGGTAGGCCTAGAATCTAGAATGTTTTCTTGATTTAAAAACATCTTTAGAACATTCCTGTTTTTATTTTATAAACCCTCAAAGTCCAAAAGCCTGAACAATTGATTCTAGAACCCGAAAGCTCATGTGGGTGATGTGAAAATGCCCTGATTCATGCCCTCTTTATTGTAGTTGAGGGTGGAGGAACAGGAAGGGCCTCAGTGCCGTGTGCCCTGTCTGTGGCTCAGCCAGCACTACCGTGCTGCTCCCTGGAAGAATGCTGGCACACAGGCAGCAGTGATCAGCACCACCAAGCTTTATCGGCATCTAGTTCCTTCATTGACTTCCCGAAATCCCAAGTACCTTCAGAGGGCCAGAAACCAGAATAGGGCTTCCCAAAGTAGGAAATAACTTCAGCGTGATTTAATGAGAAATTACAAAGGTACTTACTCAAACTAGGGATTTTAGAAATATTGGCCAAAAGAACAAAGAAATTCTCCAGGGAAGCCATCCAACACTGTAGCGTGAGCTTCTAAATGAACTGAAATTTTCTAGGTGTTCTCTCAGAGAGTTAATGATAATTAATAAAATCATTACAAAATAATTTCTTTCGAGTTATGATAGAGTATATGACACTTTAGGAATGCTTAATATTATCAGAAAGGAGCTCCCCTCTCCTCGAAGGTTACATTTATCTTTTTTTTTTGTTTGAGACAAAATCTTACTCTGTCACCCAGGCTGGAGCACAGTGTGGCACAATCATGGCTCACTGCAGCCTCGAATTCCTGGGCTCAGCCAATCCTCCTGCCTCAGCCTCCCAAGTAACTGGGACATAGACATACACCACCACGTGCAGCTAATTTTTTAATTTTTTGTGGAGATGGGGGTCTCACTGTGTTGCTCAGGCTGGTCTTGAACTCCTGGCCTCAAATGATCTTCCCACCTCAGCCTCCCAAAGTGCTGGGGTTACAGGCATGAGCCACTGCATCCAGCACATTTATCTTTTTTTTTATTGCATTTGCTTTTGAGGTCCTAGTCATACATTTTTTGCCTAGCCAATGTCCAGAAGAGTTTTTCCTAGGTTTTCTTCTAGAATTTTTATAAAAGTTTCAGGTCTTACAAGTCTTTAATCCATCTTGAGTTAATTTTTGTATATGGTGAGAGGTAGGGGTCCAGTTTCATTCTTCTGCATGTGGCTCTCCAGTTTTCCCAGCAGCATTATTGAAGAGGGTGTCCTTTCACCAGTGTATGTTTTTGTCTGCTTCGTAAGGTTACATTTAGAGTCACAGGAGTCAAGTACTTTGGAGCTGGAAGAAACCTCTACACTATCGTCAGGTTAAAAACTCCCTTTGTAAATAAAGAAGCTGAGGACTGGAGAGGCTCTGTGACACCCCAATCTATAGAGTTATTTCGGGGCAGAGCTGGTACCAGTCTCTGGGTTTCCAGGGCCCTTGGCTCTAGGGTTATAAATTAGGTGGATTAAATTTCACACGTTTAAAAAATTATTAATCATCTGGAGTAGATTGTGGCAATTTAGTCTGTAATAAAATATTTTATAAAGTGCCTGTCCCCATGGTGCTTGGTGTTGTCAGCTTTTTGTGAATGAGGGGAGAAGTTTTAGAGAGACCTGTCTTTGGTTGGAGGAGTCAGAAAGGATGGAAAGTCTGGAAGAGAGTATCTGTGAATGTCCTGATAAGGACATGCTCTCCAAAAGTGGAGTTCACGTTCGGAAAGTTCCGAACATCTTTTTTTCCTTTTGAAAATACGTAAATTGAAAGCCTGGTCGCAAAGGGGTGAGGACTGGCTTGTAGGCCTGAGGGAATGTGTGCAGCCAGCCATCTCTGGGAAGGGTGGGCACTGAGGGACAAGGGGGCCAGGGCCTTCCCAGCATGAGAGTTCCAGCCCGGGCCGCGGTGTGGGATTAGAGTCTCAGGTACGGACAGTCCCCAGGGAGTCGGCCATTATGCCAGGAAGGGCGTATGAACGCTACAGCTCAGACAGTTCTGCCTCTCGGGCTTTTGTGCCCCCACTAGCCACAGTCACCGCCCCATTTCCCTGAAACGTGTTCTGTGAGTCCCAGGTGCCCCGTTCATCTGCCGCCATTCCTCACCACCAGGGCCCTCTGCCTTGACCCCACTCCTTTTGTTCCATGTGTCTGGGTCCCGTTTTAGTCAGGGATAGTGACAGCAAGTTATGAGAAGCATCAGAGAGTTAGGGAAAAAATGAGAGAAAAGACAGGCTCATTTGACCCAATGTGGACATATTCGTATTTAATTTTATATAAGCCTACATAAACTTTAAGTAGAATCACACTTGGGTTTCCTGTTGTTCTCGGAATTTGAATGGGCCTACGCTCCTTTTCAGTGGCCTGATTAGCAAGAGACAGAAGGTGAACGGAAGACTACCCTACAAGGAGATGCCCCCAGACTGTGCAGAATCTTCTGTACAGTAGTAGTCGATTTGCGGTAGGGAATATGAACACAGTGGCCCTTGGCAGCTTATCTGATTTCTTGGGAAATTGAATTAAAATATTAATTAAAGAGAGCAAGTTTTCCCACCCTACTTATTGTATTAAAGAACTTTGCTTAGCTAGAATTTTTTTTAAAAAAAAGAAATGAAGTGAGAAGCCAAGGGTTTTGAGACCAAAGTCTGGAGTTAGAAATTTTAGTTTCTAGTCTGGGCTCTGCCCTATAATTCCTTTTGAGTTTCCATTTGAGTCTGTGCTGCTCAGTTTTCTTACTTATTAAAGGATAACTGGACCACCACAATGGTGTTAAAATGCCATGTCGGACCAGTGTTTTGTGATCCAAAATCAAATTTCCAGTGTTAGACTCATACATTTTAATCACTTTAATTAAAAACTTGATTTCCAGTGGCACTAATATTACAGGGGCCCTATCACATTGCACAGAAATTCAGAAAGGCTCTTAGGTTTCAAGGTTATGAGAAAGTGGGACTTTAGTGACTCAGCTCTTTGGGAGGTTGTTTTTAGTTCATGTCAGCTCCAACCTTAGGGGGCCTGTGAGGAGAAACAAGTTGCCTTAAGGATCTTTAGAATCAGTCAGTTCAGTCTAGCCTGAAGGGAAGACCCTCTTTCAGTAGTCATTACCAGCTCACTACATGAATATACCTTTCTTGCTGGGCTTTTCTTGCTTCCTTCTATTCTTCAGGGTTGAAGTGTTTGCTTATGTTTATTGCCATGAGGCTTAGCTTATAGGGTAATTTTGGTCCCTGCTCACTCACCTGGCATATGGCCCAAATGCCATTACTCTTGGCTTCACCATTTATGCACACATGTTGCTCATAAACCAAATCAAGATGTGAACAACTGGATTCCTAGTTTAAAGGAGTCACGTGATTGGGGGTGGGAATCAGCTTTCGGGCCTTTGCCTCATATTGGATTTGGTCTGTGGTTTCCCCATGTAGTGCCAGAAAGCTGCATGATTATTAGGGTCTGAGCCAGATACACAGACAGGCAGTCACATGCCCACAGCACAGAATGACCTCACCGAGCAACTCATGTTCCTAGGATGTTGGGAGATTCAGGCTTGCCAGAGGACCTCGTCCTTGCAATGTGGGGATGTCAGTGGTTGATAGGATTCAGCAGTGAATTCTGATCTGAATTTCAAAACAACTGGGCTCAAGGGAACATCTGAACTGCAGATCATCTGCTTGCCAAAGACAAAGCAGTTCTCAGAGCAGCTTCATCCCTGAACCAATTCAAATAGGTTAAAATTAGATTTCCTTCTATTTCAAAGAAAATCATCTCGGAGAAGCTGACATTTTCAAAGGCACTAAAGCTTTCACTGCCTTAGTGAATACAACGGGCGTTCTGCAGACCATTCTTCACGCAGCCACCTGTGCTTCTCAGTTCTGCCTTTCCAGGTACATGGCTATCATGCCCACTTTGTCTTCTAAGTTCTGACTTCTGGGTCTGGTGAACAGGTTTGAGTCAAGGGCCTAACATTCTAGTCCCAGTTTGGCCATAGGACAAAGCAATCATCTATATAATTGGAAGACATTATTAATAGGTATATCAGAGTAAAGCTTTTTTTTTTTTTTCTGGGTCACTTAAGGACAGTTCCCCTGGGCCCCTGGAAAAGTTTATTCTACTGGAGAACTATTTGCACAGAGCTTAATGAGATATTAACAGAAGAGCCTAATAAAAACTTAAAAGTCATTCACAGATTGTCCCATTCTCTGTAGATGTACTTCACTAAGCATATACAATATAGACTTGAACATCTGGAATTGTTGAAAAAAATCAGGTGATACATTTTACAAAGATTTAATTATGAACTCCCCTAGTGCATTTAATCACCTATTTGTTGGATGAAGTTTATCTATTTGAAACAATGTCAACTGTCTTTTTTTTTAGCAGACCAGGATCATACTCTTTAAATAGAAATGGAAACTTCAGATATCATAGAATTCAGAAACATTCAACCATAGTCATCATCCCATTCCAGTTCTCCTTTCACAAAAGTTAGGTATTCAACTAAAGAGGTTCTCGAGGGAAGTATTTAGTTCTTCCTAGTTTGCTAAACATCACAGGCTGACAGTATTTTCTTCTTTCCCCATGCCCTATACTTACTTTCCAATAAGAACACCAGCAAACTAAAGTAGCCCCATAATTCTCAAATGACTTCCCATTTGTAAGAGGTACTCCCTTAAAATTCAGAGCTTTTGTCATACCTTACTTCATTCATTTCTCTCATAGTTACTTTTACTTGATCCTGTTTGGCAGAGAAGAGATGACTGAAGGTGCAAGGCTGCGAAGGCATCTGATCTGGGCAGAGGTTTGGGGGCTGAGAAGCCTGGGAGCAGAGCAGTCAAGCTCAAGCTTTAGGTCTAAAATCTAGCTCTGGCATTTACTAGCCATGTGACCTTGGACAATGGCTTTGAGCCTGTTTGATCCTGGGTAAAATGAGGATGACATGTAACATGTACATCAGAGAGTTGTAGACTGAAAATACATGTAAAGCCCTCAACACGATGCCTAGAACATGAGGAGTCAACAAATCATTATTATTGTCTGGGAAGACATTGTTCTTGAGTTCAGATCTTTCTCTTGCCAAATATCACTTGCTATGTTCTTTAGCTCTTAATAGACTCCTCCTGTCATTGGCTAAAAAATGTAGCTGTTCCATTTCTATGCCTACTTATCCTTTTAGCTTCATCAAAGTGAATCTAGGGGTATATATGTACATAAAGATACTTAATTTCTAATGTGGACACCAATTTTAAATTTGATTTCAGGAATTCTGTACAGAAAACCTCATGCTTAGGCTAATTTACACTGGGAAAATTCCAGGCTAAGCTATAAGTTATTTTTCACTGAATATTAACATTTTTTATAACTTTAAAACTAATTTCCTTAATATGACCCTAGATAATGTTTAACTTAGATAAAGTACACATCATTTTGGATGAGATGGTGTTAAATGGCTGCATTGTGGAAACTAACCGGGCAAGAATTCTTGCCCCTCTACTAATTCTTGACAAGATGTCAGAAAGCTGAAGAAAAGGCTCTGCCAGACATCGATTTCAAACACCGTGGGATACATCTCAACATCTGTAGCCCAGGAGAATCTGGAAGACAATTGCAGAATCGGGTATCCTTCCAAAGACATTATAAGTATGTGTTTTCCACATTCCTAAATGGAAAACAAAACTATTTAAAAATATATACAAAGAAAATTTTTCTCTACACTGAGAAACAAGTTGTATTTTCTAACTGTAAGTATATTTTTCCCACTTTAAATTTTGAGTACCTAAGGAACCCTTTTTGGTCTCTGCTTTCTTTTCCAAATTAAATTCAAGAATAGCACGATGGTGGTAGGAAGCAAGTTCTCTGTCAGCCAATAAAATTTCAGAATTGACTTAAACACACATGGCATTTTGTTGAACAGCATTGTTTTCTGAATGATGTCCTTTTCTTTATAAAGTCTTAGTAAAATTTGCCTTTCATTTTAGCGTTGCACTTAGCAATTACAATGCCATCATATAATTAACTCTATAGAGAACGTTACTGTCAAATAATGGATGGTTAGACATTAAGAGAACCAACCCTAACAACTATCCTTTATGGCACATTTTACAGGGTTTGTCTTACTAATAATCATACTGAAATCATAAATCATACTGATTAATGAAATTTGCTTTAGTTCAAAGTTTAAAATTAGAATGCAAAAGAGTATCTGTATAGGTTGGCATAAAATGAATCCTTGTCTCCTGGAATGTCTTGAAGCAAGCTACTAGGTCACTACAGAATCAAAATGCCCTGCATGCCCTCAAAACCTTTCTATGTGCTTTTGATACCAGTCAACAGAATATACAGCACTGTCTTGGGTAAAAGTATGTACAGTAGTCCCCCCTTATCTTTGGTTTCACTTTCCATGGTTTCGGTTACCTACAGTCAACCATGGTCTAAAAATATTAAACGAAAATTCCAGAAATAAGCAATTCATAAGTTTAAAATTGCATGCCATTCTTGAGAAGTGTGATGAAATCTCGTTCCACCCTGTTCTGTCCTGCTTTGTTCCACTCTCTCCTGTCTGGGAGGTGACTCATCCCTTTTGCACACTGGGCATACGTTACCCACCCATTAATCACTTAGTAATTATCTTGGTTACCAGATTGACAGACCACGAAAAGGGTGATGTATTTTGAGAGACAGAGAGAGAGACAGAGAGAGAGAGAGAAATACCACATTCATGTAACTTTTTTTTTTTAATTAGAAAAATTTTTTTAGAGAAAAGATCTTGTTCTGTTGCCCAGGCTGGCTCAAACTCCTGGGCTCAAACAATCGTCCCACCGCAGCCTCTCTCCCAGTGGTGGGACTACAGGCACGCACCACCATGCCCAGCTTTCACATAACCTTTATTATAGTATATTATTAAAATGGTTCTATTAGCTATCGTTAATCTCTTGCTGTGCCTAATTAAGTTAAAAATTACCACAAATATGTATGTAGAGAAAAAAACGTAGCATATATAGGGTTTGGTACTACCCTTGGTTTCAGACATCCACTGTCGGTCTTCAGTCATATCCCCCAAGGATAAGGGGGTCTGCTGTGTATGTGCATGTAGCGGTGGGAGGTCGGGTGCAATGGAGGAAGCGGAAATACATTTTTGGTACATTAAGATATTGTGCCATTCTATGGAATGTCTCAAGAGTTCTTTTCATCTACAACACTATTTTCCAAGAAGATATAAAGAGACATTCAAGGGACTGACCATTCAGAACTCTGCTGTTTTTTCTCTTGTATGTGGGAGAGAGTGGAAGCCTTTTTTAAAGTTCTTTATCCTTTTCTAAAAATCTACTTGCATATCTCAAAGTTTGTATCTATAAAGACTCAGACAACCAGAAAACAGTGGACTCCAAAAGCAAACCTGAGTTGTTCTGGACTCATTCAGTAAGACAGAGGGAAGTCTTCTGACCTGTAGGAACAATGAGTGGTATGTGTGATATGTGTGTATAGATCCACCTTTGTATTAAGTAGCCAAGGTCTGGGGAAAGCCCAGTCCAGACCAAAGTGCTCTGGAGGTCTTTCTGAGACACATTAGTTGGGAAACACTGTCCTAGTTGATAGGCACTTAATCAGTAGCACATTCAGGTAACTGCTGAAACTGGTACACCAGAAGTAGCAAGGGAGTGAACAAAATTAATTTTTGGGTCACACCAAAATAGTAGTTGAATTACATCTTGGCACAGATTTTAGTATCTTGAGAGAATAGTTAACAGTTAAAAAAAATAATAGGTAGACATCACGGGGAAAAAATACTTAAGGATTTAACAGTATATGTGGAGACCCCAGTAGATGTCTCCTAACACTGGATTCATACAAAATGAACTGTAATGTTCACTGTCTGTACTTACAGGCTGTGTCTTTAATGATCTTTCATATTTATATTTATGTCTCAGACTGGTGAGCCATACTTTGTTTTTGGACTTTTTCTGGAGACTCCTAACATTTCAAAAACAGTTACTGATTTTATAAAACTCATCAATACCTGCTCTATCAACTTGCTAGACCAGGGCTCAGCAGGCTTTTTCTATACAGGGCCAGATAGTAAATATTTTTGGCTTTGTGGGCCATATGCTTTCTGCTAACTACTCCATTCTGCCATTGTAGTGCAAAAGCAACCGTCAATAGTATGTAAATGAATGAACATGGCTGTGTTCTAATAAAACTTTATTTATGAACACTAAAATTTAAATTTCATATAATTTTCAAAATTTAAATTTCATATAATTTTCATGTATCCTAAATATTATTCTTTTGATTTTTTCCAACCATCTAAAAAATTTAAAACCATACTTAGCTCATGGGCCATACAAAAACAGGCAGTAGGCCATAGTTTACTGACCCTGGTGCCAGGCTAGTTTTGGTAAAAGCTAACTGTCAATAGACATTTTAGAAACTTAAATAATGGCAACACTATACACATAAACTGGATTTTAATTCTAACACTAGTATATAGTTTCAGTCATGCATTCATGACTATTGAAATCACCACCACTATTTTTTGGATCACAACATAGGTCCTAGATTGAAATATGCTTTAACTTTTATTCTCATAGAGAACTGTGAAGCTGGCAATAAGGTGAAATAAAAAAGTGCTGCCTCTGATTCCACAATCACAACATTCTCATGCAGCAAATAAAAACAGTACTCAAATCATTAACTGTCTCTTCTAATGTAGAAAGGGAATATACCTTTTAAACAGGTAAATACTGGGAAATTTCAAACATGCTTTTAGTTCCTTAAAAAAGCCATTTGGCTAAATTGGACCTAGTGACATTTCTTTCACCTATATGCACAGACATGATAATGACCGGAAATTTGGAAAATGGAAATACAGGTCCTTATTCACAACTGGGAAGCAGCTGTATGCTGGAGGTTTCTTGTCACACTAATACATTTAAAAATCATTCTTGGATCATAGTTACATCCTTACTTACACATCCATCCAATATAATGGTAAATAGCAGATCTGGTTTTTAAAAAATTAACACAAATAACTAGCCATTTTTCTAGCTGAAGAATACTTTAAAACTAAACACAACAGTTGGATCACAATTAAGTGTGTGAATATATATTTTTTCTAGCCTTCCAATTTCAGTAAGTGCATTTACTATAGAAAATCACATTTCTTTATGTAATAATTTCAGAAAACTAAATCTGAATGATTCAAAATGAAAAGTATCTGGTTAGTTCTTAGGTCTGATGATTGTAGTGAAATAGTCACATGACACACGTTTGTACGCTGCAAACATTTTAATGATTATTGTTGAGCATACATTTTGGAAATTTTTTACTTCAAACTGCAACAAGTTAAATAAATGTTTATAATATACAAAGAAAATACAACCAAAAGTAAAACTTGCTTTAAGTGTGCCTTGCACCTAGACCAGTGTTTTTCCCCCCTTAATATATCTTTATTTTTGAGCTAAACACACTTAAGTATTTGATCTTTATAGTACGGCATTTAGGAAATAAAAATATACTCCCACCTCAAAGAAATGAAAAGGTTGTGCATGATTATACGCTAAACAAAAGAGAGAACACTAGAATACTCTGATAGTGCAGGCATCATTACAAAGGAAAAGGAAAAGAAAAAGCTTGAGATGCTCATTAACTCTCTCTGTTTTAAGGAAGCAGGACTTCTGACCAAGTAGCTTAAAAGCCAGCAAAACAGGGATCAGTGATGGCAACTGTAGTGTATGGAGTATGAAATGACAAACTTTACACAAACACACTGTTAGAAATTTACCAGTGAACACTGAAGATCTGAGAAGCTGCTCTTTGGAACAGTCAAAGTAGGACCACCTTATTCCAGTCATGTAAGCCCTTGTAAAGCAACACAGTGTTCTGTGCTATATACTTGCTGGCTGGGTAGTTAAAGAATTTGTTTTGTCATTAGCAGCTAACGAACTTATTCCACATGTTCTTAAAGCCTTAATGGTTGGAAAAAAGGCAAGTGTCATTAGCGTGGAGGATCATATACTTCTCTGCACACAAACACAAGAGGCTTCACTAGTATTTTAAAAGTCTCTGATGTCTCCCATTGCATGTCAAAGCTCAATTGAGATGAAAGCCTTTCTCCATTGTAGCAGCTAGCAAGCGCTCTCTCATGATCTCCTCGGAAGAATATTCAGGCAACTTAAGATAATGCACACATGTATTGACTGATGGATAACTTGCATCAGTGGCATCAACCTACAGAAACAAAACAAATATAACAACCATTGAGATTAATTATTTCTTTCTTTCAATCCTAAAGTAACTATTAATAAATTCCATTTGGATTCCCCATTAGCTAGAGAGTTTGTACCTTGCGTACAACTGTGAGCCTGGGATGCAGGTTAGCCAGTCCACCTGGGGGTAGAGTTGAACACCCAGTGGTAAACTGCAGGAAGGCTTTCCTTTCATCTGAAGACATGCCACACAAAACCCTCACGAACCTCAGGAAACCAGGGCTAAAAGAACAAAAATATATTGAGTTGATAAATTTAAAAGAAAATCACTACCAGTACTTTGTAATCAACAATAACCCTCATAAAAAAAATTATCCTTATGTCAGAAGAACAGCACTGTCTAGAAAGTCTTGGATAAGTATGAAAAGGGCTGATAAAAGCTACTTTAAAAATATTCATCAAAGACTGTCTTGCACTTATAAATGTTGAAAGCTGAAACACTGAGACAGTGTAAAGATCAATGGAGTATAAAGATCATTTGGATTATGCAACAAAGCAAATCAGAAAAGCGTAAGATATATTTGCATAATTAATCCAAATATAGCTAAATTTACCAAAGGAGACCTGAAATAATCCATTTTTGTTCCAGTAAAATGATTGATTACCTTGTGAAAGGTTCATGTAATTAAATACTACATATCAATAAAATGAACTATAGGCCGGGCGCGGTGGCTCACGCCTGTAATCCTAGCACTCTGGGAGGCCGAGG